CCAGCCCCTGCTCATCCTCGTGGCCTCCTTTTGGCTTGCTCCAACAGCAGCTCCCCCGCCTTGTTATGCTGAGGAAAAGCCCTTCTCACGCCATCCTTTCCCCGCTTCCCAGGTCCTGACTCCAAGATGCGGGAGGTGTGTGCAGGGTGCGACACCCCCATCTCGGACCGGTTCCTGCTCCGTGTCAACGAGCGCTCGTGGCACGAGGCCTGTGTGAAATGCGCCGTGTGCCTGCAGCCGCTGGCCGGGACCTGCTACTGCCGCAACCGGCAGCTCTACTGCAAGCACGACTACGAGAAGTAAGTGATTCCCAGCATCCTCCCCTCTTCCCACCCATCCCGGCTCCATCTGGACCATGCTGGGGTCTGGGGGAGGGCTGAGGAAGGTGTTGTGGTGGTGGTGACATCGGTGAGATGATCGTGGTCTGCGCAGGGATGCGTTGGGAGGGGAAGTGGTTAGCTTTGATTTAACGCGGTGATGTGGGTGAAGAGGAAGAAGGGATGAACTGGTGGCTGTTGGGATGTGCTTTTCCAAGGAGTGAGGGATGTTCCAGGAGATGACGGCACCCAGCTCCCTGCCTCTTCCTTCTGGATCACAGGGTCATGGAATGGGTTGGGTTGGAAAGGACCTTCAGAGCATCTAGTTCCAAATGCCATGGGCAGGGACACCTCACACTGGACCCTGTCAGCTCTGTCCAAGCTGGCCTCAAACACTGCCAGGGATGGGGCAGCCACAGCTTCACAGGAATAGAAGTGATTAACAGGATCCGGGGGGGACACATGGCAGTGCTGATGCCTGGAATGCCCGTGTCTGATGGTGACCTCCAAGCCCATTGTGACCTCCTGTGCGTGGCACTGCTGGGCAGAGCTGGGGATGGGACACAGCCATCTGAGGATGCTGCTGGGAAGAGGCTCCATCAGTTCCCTGGTGTTTGGCAGCATCCTCTAAAGCCTTCACAGTCCAATCTTATCTTCCCTGTGCTCCACAAAGGGCAGCGCAGCCTCCTCCCTTGTGCTTGGCAAGGGATGGGAATGGTAATAAACACACCGGGGCCTGCCCAGGAGAGGCAGGACAAGGAGTTGGCCAGGCACAGCACCCACAGTGTCCTGGCAAAGAGTGAGGGTCCCGGGATGCTTTGGACTTCCATAGGGTCTCAGGTTTGGCTGCTGCACAGGGAGCCAGGAGCCGGGTTTGAGCTGTGGTTGAGGAAGAGGATAAAACATGTTTGCTGCAAGGAGTGTGGGCTCCTCCTCCGGGTGCCTGCCCCGAGGCCAGTGATGCCATTCCCATTGATTTTGGGGTGGGATAATAGCGTGGCCACGCTGGTTTTCCTACCCCGGGTCTGCTCCATCCTGCTCCCATGCTCCAAACCACCCCTGAGGGTCTCCAGCTCCTTCAATGCTTTTGGAGGTTGGTGCTTTAGGCGCTTCCGAAGGTGTCTCCACTCAGCACCTTCGTGCTTCCAGCATGGGAATTTCCTCCTGTTTGGGACTCTTGT